CCCCTCAATTTCTCAAAGCCAGCTATTCCAGTGTTTCACAATCTTTACACTCACAGGTTCTCCCTCTGGTCTGACCTGGAGTTTTCCCTGCTCCAGAAAGCTCCTCATTTCTTGTGCCACCCATCATGACACTGAACACACCAATCTTAAAATACTGGAGACCTACCACGTTCCTTCCCATTTTTCTCTTCTTTAGGACAAACAACTCTGTTTCTTCTGACCCTTCCCCCCGAGGTATCTCTCTGAGATATCGGATCACCCTCCTTGGACACCCTCCAATGATACACGTTGGTCTTGGAAAACGATGCCCAAGTTTGGGCAAAAGCTCTCCAGCTGTGGAGAAGAAGGGCTCTTCATGGATCTGCCAGGCCTCACATTCTCACAAACTCATGTGATGTTCACCTTTTTTGTAACAGCCTGACATTGTTGACCTCCTACACAGTGCAATGATGCACTATAATTCCAGCTACTTTTCTAAAGGAATACTGTCTAAGGAGTTGACCACCACCCTCAGCCTGTTAAATTCCTTCCTGCTTCAGGAATTCAGCAGAATATCTTCTATTTATCACTGCTGGCTTTAATTCTGCTTTTTTTCTGATTATGTCTCTCATTTGTCAAGATGATTTTCAGTATCACTACAGTCCCTTAATGCTGGAAGGCTCTCCTATCTTACCAGCACATTTAATCAGAAGATTTTATTTCATCATCTCAGTTCTTAATGGAAACACTGCTCAGAATTAAACTCGGGACTGCTGGCTGCCAAGTCCCTTTACTCCAGAGCAGATAAAGTATCAGGTCACCTCTTGGTATTTAAGGCTGATATTGTGCAGCCCTCATGTTTTGTTAACTACAGAACAGGGAATATATCTAATGGAGTGTTAGATATGCTTCCCAGTATCCCGTCAAGGCTCCAAGACCCTTTGCTGCAGCTCAGAGCACAGCAGGTAACTTCCCAGTCACGCACCACTGTACTGGCTCCTTCCCAGAGCAATGTGCTGCTGGAACTGCAGGCTGGCCCAGGATGCAACCTGCATTTGTTCTCCAACAAGGAGGCAGGGAAAGAGGAGGCTTACCAAGAACTTGCACCCTCAGAGTAAAGTATTTCTGTTTGCCTGAAGTCAGCTACACTGCCTTCAACTCAAAGTACTTAGCCCACTCCTGTTTGCCAAAATAAGTCTTAGTTTGCTCAAACATTGTCATTTTTAATGCTGAACTAGGTAACACTACATAGGGATGCCTAGAGCCATATGCCTAGCACATATAGCTATATATATATATATGTTTATAAATGTGTGATATTTCTGAATTAGGTAAGAGATATAATTACTTGTATTACAATAAGACTCAGATTATGCTTACTGATTATGCAATCTATTTCTGTCTGCTTTGGATGAGCAAATTTTCAATAGTCCATTTTATCCCAGGGGAAAAAAGGGATTTATTTCTCCACACTTGCACCATTTCCCAACATCTTCCATCTCTGCATTCCATCCACAGTGCAAAGCTCATTCCTGAGATTAGTGCAGGGCTTCCATGACTCACAAAAGGAGTTCAGATTCCCACTGATCTGCAACCCCAGCTGTGCATCAGATTCTACAAAGAGAGATCCCTACTCCCAAAATGATGAGGAGCCTTCCTGCGGCCCAGATGGATTCCAGTGCACATCACAGTCCCCAGGCTACAAGTCTGATGGTCAGCAGAAATCCGGGAGCCTAGAGGAGGAAGCAGGTATCTAAATAATGCCAAAAGCATTTACAGCATATTATGTCTAGATTCTTTCTTATCAGTTAGTATTAATTGTCAGATTCCTTTGATAAATGGAGCATTTCTCCATCAAATACCACTATATTGCAGAAGGCCCTCTAGGCAGAACTGGGGCAGCTACCCCAGCACATGCTCGTGTAAGCTTAGGGGCTTTCAGCCAGGTATCCTGTTCTGCTCAAATTATTTAGCTTTTGAGGCACGCCTGTTACTTCAAAGAAGAAAACAACCACAACAAAAAATACTGTATCACACAAAACAATTCATCTGGAGACAATTTATGTCACTCACACCCAGGCCCAAGGACGACCAAAGGTTTAGTCCAGCTGCAGGACATGGGAGAGGTGGGGCAGTGTCCCAGAGCTGCCCAAGGCAGAGCACACCCTGTCACCCAGGTCCCTGCTGCCATCCCAGCTGTGCGGCTGCTTCTCAGAGCTGCTCCCTTACCTCCCTGCACAGCCCCAGCACATCACACTGGCCCTCGGCCCACTGGCTCACGCCTTTCTTCTCCATTCCTGAGGCTCAGCTCAGCTGCAACCTCCCCGCCCCCTACCCAAAAATAAAGCCCAAAATAAAAAGCTGTGGAAGCCAGCTCTACTAGAGGCCTAAAAGCAATAGTTTTGAATGGAGTGAATGGGGAAAGTGCCAATACCGTGGGGAAGTGAGGAATGAAAGTAGCCGGAGGCTCACACACAGGGTGTGAGAAAGCAGACAGGGACTCCGAAGTGGTCAGGATGACAAGCTCACCAGCTGCCACACTGTGGTACAGCACAGGGGGGAAAAACTAATTCTGCCTCTTCCTTCTAACATGTCACCTTCAGCCTCCTTCCCTGTGCCAGTTCACACACAGGACAGCCACCAAAAGAAGGGTCTCTTTGCTAACACAGGCCATGGAGGGGCTGCCTGGAGACCTGTGAAGAATAAAGTCTTCTCTGAAATTTAATTTCCACTTGGCAACCTGAGTCAGCGCTCCCTCATGACTCTGATTTACACAAGTCCCTCTGGATTTGACTGATCCAACAGGTAACGTTTGGAACATGTTCTAGTTCAAGGTGTCCATGGGGGCAGGACTAGGTTACCCTTTAAAGGTCCCTTTCAACCTGAACTTTTCTTTGGTACTATGTTAAGCACTGGATGTGCATTGGGAGGCATGGAGCATCCAGGTGATCCTTCAGAAGAAGAGCAGGTCTTTAGCCTGGAGCTAACAAGTTTAAGAACTTGAGAAATAACAGCACTTATCCTGGATTAGAAGTGTCCAAATCCTGGCATTTTTATTAAGACACCTCTTCTAAGAAGGCATTAAAAGCAGTCATCACTTACCTTCAGCAAGAATGGAAACAGTGTTCTCTGAACCTGCCTTGTGAGACTGTACCCAGCCTATAAACCCCTCACCAATCCCTCCCTGATTTCTCACTCATGAAAAACAGTTCTCTCTCTACAGCTCCTTTTTCCCTAACGTAGAACATTTAAAAAAAAAAAAAAATGTTCTAAGGGCTTTAGACCAGGAGACAAAGAAAATAAAGGCAAAGTACAAGCAAATTTCTTTTTTCCTATAAAAGTTTCCAAAACCAAAGCAGGAAGATTTGCAGAACCATTTCCGCCTGGCAAGCCGATGAGAAGAGCAGGGTTCCTCTGAACGTGCCTACCTTTTACTGTATTTAAAGAAGGATCAGAATAGTTCAACTGAGTTACAGTTATTCTTAACTTGTATGTTTCTCATGTTTAGATAATCTCTGCAGCCTCCAAAAGCCAGAGCAGCACCCTGGTTCCACTGGGAACCCGGTCATCCCATTCCTGCAGCTGCTGCATGAGTCATTCCTGTGCAGCATGACATTCCCTTTGTAAAGCACTGCTTCCCAAACCATCATCCTCAGAAAGCTGGCTGGCTACGTGCTGCTGGCGGAGCTCCTGGCCTCCAACTGCTGCGTGCCTTTAAAGACAACCAAGATGCACTCAACGCTATCCTGGCACACATTTCCCTTGAAAGCTGCTGCTTTAGTTGCCGCAGGGCAACTCTGTTCTTGTCAATGAGTGAGGAGGTGTCTCGAAATATCTTCTGAGACACAGTCTGCACAAAGGAGTAAAAATTAAACCAAAACAAAAAACTGTGTGGAATTCCTGCTCTAGATAATGTGTCGGCTCTCCATGCAAACCTCCCTGGTCCAGCAAGTCTGGGAAATAGACTGAGACTGGGAATTAACTCCAGCTCTAGCATATGGAGATGCAAGACACCAGGCCAGTTGCTTGTTTTATTTAACATGTGTTTCTTTTACCAGCAGTATTAACATGGCCTTGTTCCTGTTTATACTTTGGGAAAGGAGAAAATAAACTTTTTTCCCCCTCATTTTGTTTTGCTCTTTTAAGCGTTCCCTGTTCCTGTCAAAGGGAGTTAAGCTAAACAGAAACAAGGCAGTTTTGTTCCAGAGTGAATGTGTCCACACTTGGAGCTATTTGGAAATTGTTCCTACAGTTCAAATGCAAAAACTCTCCCCCTTAATCCTCATTAACCTTCTGATGTAAAAAGACCCTGAGGTTGGGTAATTATTTTGTTAACAGACCACAGACTAACACAACTTTAAGGCAAAGCACATGGCATCCACCCAGGGCTTTCACCACTTAGGTGAGGCACCTATTTTAGTGGCTTAGGAGTAAAGCTTGTAGTTGTCTGCAAAGGGCCAAGAGCCGTGCCACAGCTATAAGGGTGCTGAGAGAGCCTGAGTTCCCTGTGCCCATTCACACATGACACACTGGGAAAGCACCTCATAAATTCAGGATAACCCTTGGAGGTTAATCAAGACACATCAAGACAACGTCAGTGAGAGCTGTGACCCAACTGCAGTGAACACCGAGGAGAAAATGTAAGGCTGGCATTTCCCTGAGACGACTCCTGCTCTGAGTCCCTTGGAAATCACGGAGCAAAGCGGAGCTGCTCCCCAGCAATGGCAACATTACTTTGACAAACAGCACGTCTGCTAGCGACGCTGTAAGCACCATGTGCTCCAGCACTCCGTGGGGCAGCTCGCAGTGCTGAACCCTCCTGCCTTGCTGGGTGTCAGCTTTATTTCGCTACTTCAAACCTATCACAGGTCCGCTCCATTCAAGGGTTTTAAGGGAACCATAGAGGCATCTTCTGCCCACAGGATAAGCCAGACGTGAACTCGTCGGGTTCACCCGTGCTCCTTCCAACAGGGACAGCGTTTAGGCTGTAGAGGTGAACGATGAAGTAGCAGCAAACTTACTTTCCAGTGATCAGCTGGCTTCTGGATGGTGTACACATGGGCTGGACGTAGTAGTTCTCCAGCTTGACCCCTTCAGCAGCCAGCTTGTCGAGCGTGGGCGTCCGGATCTCAGACCCGTGGTACCCCACGTCCCTGAACCCCTGATCGTCGGCCAGGATGAAGATGATGTGCGGCTGCGAGCTGGGGGCGCCGGCCGCGGGCTCCTCTCCCAGCAGGTTCCCCGGCGCCTCCCCGGCACCTCCTCGGCGGCTGCCCCAGGCCAGGTAGCCGCAGGTGAGGAGGCTGAGCAGGGACAGCCCGGCCAGCACCGCCGCCACCATCCTGCCCCGGCTGGGG